ACTACATTAACGCACCTGAATTCACACTGATTCCATAACTGATCGTACTATGTTGAAACGGACATCTAGTGCTTCCTGGTTTTCAATGGTTTTCTAACATTAATCAGTTCGTGATTTCAATGGTATCCAATAATTTAGAATACCCAATACTGGTAATAATTATTAGACTCTATTCACAATCATCTTGGTTTTAACATAGTTTCTGTTATTTTTATTAAAGCGAACAAATTTAACACTGAGTATATGAAGTCAACAATCTGATTAAGAGTGATAAATGACGAACAGTGAACAAAAAAAAGTGTTCATTCCAAGGTTGAACTTCACGAATTCAAATAAATTGACCATAGTATACGTTTGAAATTACAAATATAATGTATTTGTAGAGCCCTCATGAGTAAATTCTTTATCGTAGAAAAAATGTAGCAATCTATTTTTTTAATATGTGCTCTTTGAGTTTTCTATTTAGAGGTTCTTGCATGTCATCCTATAAAACCTGAAAAAAAATTCTAGCTACGTTTATAATGCAATTTGTTATCTTTATGAAGAACTAATGGAAGCTAAACTCTGTCGTCAGTAGAGAATCCTGTCTGTCAGGAGTCTTGCATATGGATGTTCACCGATAATCAGTTCGAAATGCCTTTCCAGCATTCTTCGAGCTTTGATTATTCATCAAATTGTCATCCTGTAATACTGAACTCATTCAAGATAATGATAATTTGAAAAACTTGAGAAATCATTCAGTTTAGATTTGTTGTTAAAATGACAACATTTATACTTTTTGGTTTTAGATTTTAAACGTATACAGTTATTCAATGATAACCTATGTTTAATAGAATAGTTTTGTCATGTGTAGATTGTCTAAATAAGATAGGGATAATATTAAAAAATCGTTGTCACTATCGACAGTGTGAGGGACCATAGAATAACCGATCATTGACTAGTAACTGATCACATCTTAAGTTCAATGTGAATGTCCTTGAAATCAACCAAATGAAAGACTTCGAATAAAAAAATCAATTTATCTGAAAAATACGTGACTTCATGAAGTGAAAATGATAATATTATTGTTAGACTCTCTTATACAATCATTTGCATTTCATAATGTTTAAACCTAAGTAACGGGTTGAGGGAAAGATAAGGATAGTTTATTTCGATGTTTTATATAAAAGCATTTATTTATGACAGAATTACAACATGGTATATAGTAAAGAGTTTTCTCAATTATCTTACGGATTATATGATAAGGTTAGTTAATCAAAAAAAACGTTCAATTCTAGTGTCGATTAATTATCGTTTCACATAAACAAGACAATTTCCAAAAATAAAAAAGATTAGTTCAGACATATTGTTGAATAAAAAAACCGTGATTATTTAAATCATAGTTTGAAGAAATTAAACTGTAACATATGGGTGACTGGTCGCAATCGTTTTGTATGATTGAAGTGAAGTGGATTTTGGAAATTTCCTTTGCGTATTGTGTGAATAACAAAAGATGTAATTAAAATCCTAGTGAAAATTTGATTTATTACTATTATTAATTGTATATACAACGAGACTGTACTCAGTAACTGAATTCATCAAGGCTATACATCCAAGTCACTGGCTAAGTTAACACGCACAAACCAATGAAGTAAATGAAGATTGAGTTATACAATTGATTTCGTATATGTGAAACAAACGTATGATATTTGGTCCTACAGCATCATTACACAGTAAATACCATTTTTGAATAAATTCGATGGAACTAAGTTGGCCTAAGTAATAAATCACAAGGTGATTGAATCAATATCAACGAATGTCATCGTTAGAGGAGTTAGAGCTGTTCTGTTTGTAATACTATGTATGATATTGGAATAATTAATTTGCTAGCTTATGACTTTCAGAGAAACTGACTTGACCTCGACATCAATTTTCGTTAGTGTTTAGTAATCGGTAAAATGACCTAGGGAAAATAAATTACTACAACATTACAGTTCTTCCTTGCCGATGATATTTTACTTCAATTCATCATGAAAAGTTTGTCAAATACACTTAGCTAGCATGTAAGATTGTTCTAGACCCAGTCAGTGTATGACGCATTTACATCGGTAAATTTAGCTTAGTAATATGAAAGTATTTTAGTTTCATTTGTTTTAAAATTCTGTAGTGAACATGAGTAGTTTAACTAGTCTTATGCAAACTATTTCTTTTGTTTAATATTGTAATCAGTAATGAAGTTTGAAAACATGCTACGAAGTGTCTAATTCAATTAATGAGAACAGAGTCTACTAAAATTATTTCGACTAGACCAGTGAAATAACATGGAAGAAAAAGTTAATTGATTTTAGGAGTAAAACAAACTTAAGACACAAAGGTATTGGATTTCTCAAGTTGAATTTATGAAGTCCCTTAAGTGGCTAATTAGGACCAATTTCTCATAATTTCAAGTTAGCGTAGACATTATTTCTGGTCATGTGCCTTCTCACTAGTGTGATACTACTGAAAATGAAACTCTTAAACATATTTGGGAGAAAATTTGGAATAGTTACTAAGACATGGAAATTAAATTTCAAATTTATAATTTTATTTAATGAAAATGCCATATATTTTAGAAATTGTCAACTATTTCGAATTGAATTGAAGAACATATCATTCTTTATATGAATATATATATAATTTTACTTCATATTGGCTTTGGGTTTGACTTGATACAAAGTAAAATTAACAAGCAAAATATTATGCATAAGAGATTCACGATCAAATATCTATGAAATCAGGCTAAACAAAAATCTGAAGACTACTTCAATAACTGCAGAATGGTAGTATTGACAAGTTTAAGTCTCATCGCTAGTTAGAAAAATCAATTTGAAATAGGTTGAAAGTAATTTCAAGCCGATTCGAACGAAGAATTCAACTTTGAACAACCAAACAACTGTCCAATCGAGTGGTATACACTGTGAATACACTGTATATCACTGAACTGTAAACAAAAGTTATCAGCACATTCACTGCTTAAAATAACAACAACTGACAAAACTATCGGTAACCGACTATTCCATTCTATTCAGAGAGATGTAGAGTAGTTTCAAAATAAAGGCTTTTGCGACGGTAAAAATATCATCATAATATCAATAAACAAATGTTCGCTGATATAGTATATAAGATTGGCTATCTAAAAAACAGTTCAAATAAATGAAGACTGATGACTGATGAATGTAAATTAAATGTCTGTCATTAATATGCTTTATTGTAAGATATGTATGAAAACACACATATGCGATCTAGCATTATTCTATAACTTAGTACTTTGTGAATGATAAGTTTTTCGATGAACATTTGGAATATCATTTGAATTAGTCAAATAAGATGAGATGTATTTATTACACAATGAAAATGAAGCATCTTTAATTTTTCTTATTCATCTATAGGTTTTACATTTAAACTTACTGAAGTTTTGAAATATTACTATTATTATTATTTCACCTAACATATAGTTTATATTAATAGGGAAATATAAGAAAATCTATATTTCACGCCAATTTATTACACATAATAATAGTGTGTTTTATCGAATTTGTTATCACAAATACTTTTAATCTTGTATGCAGATTGTAAGTCACTGAAAATATAATAAACTGAAGATTATATAAAGTGGTGTACTAATATATTATTCCCACATTTTAAGTTAATAAATTATTAATAAAAAGAATATAAACAACGGTGTTGTTTAGGATATACATTGACCAGCAAAACCAAGTCACTGACAAGTAGACTGAGCCATGTGGGTAGGTGTAAACCAACTGGTTAGGGTCCACGAGTTGATAGTAATAGGCGGTTAGAGACCTTGAATGACATGGGTCAAAATCTTTTGCAATAGCACAGGTGCATTCATTCTTTGTGTTCACTCAAATCCTAATCTCCTGAATTCCTTATCACCAATATCTTCTTTTTAAAGTTTATTTCATCAGATTCTACCTCTTGAATAATATCCTTGAACCATAATCTCTCCGATTACTGCTGATATTTCTACTACCTCTACCAGTATGAGATTGAAACTGACAACTGCGTCTCTGAGTTAATGTGTTAAGGCAACCTGAAGTTATGTACGTACGTACGTACGAACGTTCTACTTCTTAACTGACTGACTGATATTAACACAAATTCTTATTTGGATGTTCAAAAATACTCTAAGCAGAGAACACTTTTATTTCACAAAATATCAGAATCTATACACGAATATCAGTTCCATAGGAGTTTGTGAGCTTTAAAATAAGGATAACATATATACAGTTTTGTTCACGTGATGCTTCTCATACCAATTAGTATTATCAGTGAATAATAAGTCTTCCCTTCCACTACAAGCTTCCCTTACACAACAATTCTTTTACAGACTTACTGCAAGTTTCTAAATATTTATATTCAAACCATAATTACAATAAATGAATATAAAGGGTATTTGAAAATAACAGGGTACAGTCCAAAAATGTCAAATTTTAGGAGGAAGTTACACGTGTATCTAAAGAAGAAGTTGAGAAAAAAAGAAACGTAGTGGAGGTACAGATAACACAAACTATAGAAATCACCCAACTACATCATGAAGAAAGCCCCAACTTGAAATCTTCAAGACCGAAGGAAAAATGGTAGACCGAGATACATACTGTACCGAGGGCCAGAAACCTATATGTAAAGGATGAATAGAGATTGAACAGAGGTGGAAAGGAAGGCTAATGACAGAGTTGGCTGGAGAATACTAGTAAGTCGGCTACGCTCCATTTTCACTGATAAATTTCTTATTTTGATTACACTGCCTTAATTTATAAAAAGTAATGAACTTTTTGTAAGAGACAAATACCAAAATGATTTCTAGTTGATTTATTGTATACTGTGTAAATAAAAGATACTGTATACTTTCTATAAAGAGTACAGTAAAGTTAGTTACTGTGATGCCTGTGAACTAGATGTACACTGATAAAGTAAGATATTTAAACTATTCAAACAAATTACCACAAAATGATATCATTTTATTCACTCACCATATTATCTTTAGCAATATCTTTAATTAATTGTTCTGAACATCTTTGTAAACAATGTGATTTACACACTGCACTAGCAATAATTCTCAATTCCGCAGAATAAATCAAATTATCCGATGGTACAATCGGAATAGATGGATCAATTTGACGTTTACTTCTAGAATTGGACAGTTTTGTTTTAAATGAAATATGATCAGTTTTCAATAATGAAATGTTTACATAATTATTTATATCCACTAAATTTAAATCCGATTTCTGTGGTACAATTGCAAACATATAGAGTAGTAATGTTAAAATCTTGTGCCAATATTTTGTTGTACGCGACAAAATTAACATGATGTCATAGTTATGCTAGAAAATAATTATAATAGGGTGAAAGTTTTATAAAAGCATTGATAATGTAATAAATTAACTAATTTGAAACTATTATATATTTCTGAAATAATATTTATGTATAAATATATCCTTGAAAATTTATTGAAAAGCATTTCTAGCTCTATGATTGGTTGACCATAACGTAAAATATAAACCAATACAAATAATGAATAACTTAAATAAACTTTCATTAGTCTTTGCAAAAAAAATAGTCCTTGGTCATGAATAAATCAACCTTTAAAATAGGTAAAACAATCATACAAACAAAATGACCTCTGCATTAGATTATAAGTGGGAATCGTGTTTGTGTTAGCACCAATTCTCAAAACGCTTATCATTTAAATGTCTGTATATATATATATATATATATATATATATATATATATATATATATATATATATATATATATATATTGATATAATAAAATGAATAGATGAGTGTAATGTTATGTCATTTAGTAATATGTTTTGCGTAAACAGTAAACCCGTAAAAAAGAGTTTTAAATGTCGAAATAGGCTTTCACTACGCAGGATTCATTAACCAATGAAAAAGGTGGACAAAATGTAGCTATTTTCGGCAGAATTACATGAGTCAAGCTCAACAGAAGTTAGATGTGCCTTTATAACACGTTCATGAAAATTTTTAGTATGGTATTGTGATTCACATCTCTGGGTATTCTTAAAATTTTCACGTGTTCAACTTAGTCGAATAACGAGAACAAAACAATGAAGCAGAGTCCAGGTAGACTACTATGACCCCTTGACCCAAATGTACTTGTAAGAAGTCTTGATATAGCGTAGGAAGTGTATTTTACAACATCCAGCCAGCACACAATGAATCCAAGCACACAAATCGCGTTCATTTATACTCTATAGAGACGTTCTTGAGAGAGTCACAAAATAGCACACGAAAAGAACACAGTAACCGATCACAGCCAAGGATTTTCCTGGTGAGAAATGTGATCTCAGGGTCAACTGATCAGCCCATGATTAAAATCCAAAATGAAGATATTTATCAAGTGAGTTCTGGGGATCTAACATCTCCAGGTGTGAGAGGTTTTCGAATATACGATAATCAGTCTAAAAAAACTTTGTATGAATATATATTTTACAGTGGTTACTCCTCAGTTCTGTTGATCATTTTGAAATTTTTTAATCAGTAAATTTTTACCATTAATCTTTATCAGTAAGTGATAAATTAATCAATAACTGATTAATAGAACCGCTCACTTAACGCATACAAACATATTCGTTGATCATCATAGGCTTAATTTTTTGCATAACAAATTTGAGTTTCGAAAAACAATACTCAGATCTTGTTCACAAATTACGGCAGACAACACCAGTAAAATGATTGATATTATTCGAATAACTTCAAAACTCTCTATACTGAGTAAGTTATTCCAAAGTTTATTTCCAGTCTTGTTGGCATTTCCCTAACTTACATGTTAACACCATTTTACAGATATGGCAAGCATCACTGCAAAAGACAAAACTAGTGAATTCTTTGTGTGGTTCAGTCCGATAACCAATGTTCAGAACACTACTGTTTGTATAAAAAGTCGAATTTGTCATCAAGTGTAATAACATCATGTTGTTACATAAAATTTCTCCCTTCGATGACAGCAATGATTCATCTAGAATAAGTTTTTATTTTAAATCATCTTATACCTTATTACAATCAAAAAAACAGGTAGGAAAATGTGTAGCTTCGGTTTATTTATCGTCCAGTTCGTTACCAGTTTTATTATCGTCCTTTTTAAATTAGAATCTTTACATGATTCATCACTGATGAATTTGGATTAGAATCTTTAAAATCCACAACATTTTCAAAATCCTTGTTTTATCGGCTAGAAATTAATTACGAATATCATAAATAAATATAAACATTTATATGTACATGATACCTATACAATATTGTTATCTCATCTTAGAGTATGAGAAAGGTGTAGGGAAAATCAGCGAGAAAGTTCATGATAGTATGTAACATTTACCATTTATCGTAAGATTTTTAGTATATATATATATATATATATATATATATATATATTCTCATGTAAACAGAAAATTAGGTCGGTTATTTATTTCGCTAGAATGAATATTATTAAAACGAGAATAATCTAAGCGGGAAAAATAAGTCAAACCGAAAAAAAAATGAAATTTTTTAATATAAGTGAAGTGTTAAGTAGATTTTATTTTTAAAACAGGCCATGTAAATGTCGTGACTTTAAAATTTACATATTCTGCACGTCATCCAGTAAATGTTCATTTCAGGCAACCTCTATTTTTAAACACTTTTGTGATATTCTTTTAAATTTTCAAGAGAGTTTCGAAATAAATTATTATAATACTAATTTCAATGTATATTTGGAAGAGAATTGTGAACAAAACTTATGAAATTTAAATAAAATTAAACATGTCTACAATGTACTAATCGAAGAATATCAGTAAAAATATACCTGTATTTAACAGAACTACACCTAACTAAAAACGTTAATCGCCAAAATGATCACAATGCAAGCACAACAACAGAAGATATTGACTTTATTGACTGACAATAGATTTATTTTACTTTTTATTCGCTTCACTTATCTTTCAACATGTTAGATACGTCACTAAGTATGCTTGAAACTATTACGGGTTCACCTTATTTGAGAAACGCTAACGAGACGATGAACCAGCGTCCAGGTAAGCTACCCTGATCTGCTGGCTAATGAAAAGTCATCCCCTGACTGACTAATTAACAATGAATAGATTAAAGTTTAATTATTATCTACCATACTGTAATGATTATTTTCACGTAAGCTTCATTATATATTCATGTACAGACAATGTACAATACAAATGAAACAAATTAATTATTCAGCTTTTTATGTTTGACTTTGATCTCTGCAGTTATAAAGCAATACAATATTTAAGAAATTACATCTACTCAACGTACTTATGAAAACTGGAGAACAACTGGAGTAGGATCAAAGAAGCATTAACTTTAGCATGTCATAAAGTATTGGGTCACAAGAACCATTATCACAAGTAATGGATCTCTGTAAATACTCTGGATAAGATTCCAGAAAGGAGGAACAAGACGGCTGCAATCAATATTAGCCAAACAGCAGCAGAAGCCAACAAGCAAGTGAAGAGTAGCATCAGAGCTGACAAACGTAGTTATATGGAAGATCTAGCTACCACGGCGGAAAATGCTGAAAGAGAAGGAAGCATCAGACAACTATATTATATAACGAACAAGCTTACCGGAAAATATTGTAAGCCAGAACAACCAGTGATAAGCAAGGAAGGCAAAGAAGTCACTGATATTCAAGAACAGCGAAACAGGCGGGTAGAGAACTTTGAAGAACTCTTGAATTGACTAGACCAATTGAACCCACCCTAACCCTAAACAGAGATACTGAGAGTAGACATACCAGCCACTGAAAAGATGCTCCACATTCTGTTTAGCAAGATTCAGGAGGATGAGCAAGTACCAACAAACTCGAGAAAAGAATAGTTTTCTCCCAAATACTAATGAGAGGAGATTTCAGCAAGTGTGAGAGCTACAGAAACATCATTATTTTCTCAATAACATGAAAAGTCTTCAACTGAGTGTTGTTGAATCAAACGAAAAATCCAGTAATGCCCTACTTCAAGATCAGCAGGCCGGATTCCGTACCGACCGAATCGCAAAACCACGGATTATTGTCGAACAATCGCTTGAATAGAGCTCACCACTCCACATCATCTTCCCTTACTATGCGAAAGCATTTGATAGCATGGACAGGACAACACTATGGAGGATTCTTCGAAACTATAGTGTGCCTGAGAAGATATTCAACATCATACAGAACTCTTACGATGGATTAAACTGAAAAATCGTGCACGGATGAAAGCTGACAGACTCATTCCAAATGAAAACTGGTGTCAGACAAGGTTGCTAACTCTCACCCTTTCTCTATCTCCTGGTGGTTGACTGGATTATTAAGACGACAAATCCGGTGTTGTCACGGGAGACAGTGGACAGTTAGAACGCAACTGAACATTCTTGACTTCGCAGCTGGTCTGGCTCTTGTATTGCACACACGTCAGCAAATGCAGAAGACGACTAATGTAGCAGCAATGGGTCTCAGCTTACACGAGGGAAAATCAAAGATCTTTCGATGCAACATAACATGCACCAACCAAATCACACTTGATAAAGAAGATCTCAAAGATGTGGAAACGTTAACGTATCTAGGCAGCATCATTAACTTACACGGTGGGTCTGATACAGTTGTGAAGACACTGATTAGCAAATTAACGGTAGTATTTTCACAGTTGAAGAATATTTGAAACCCATATCAACTATCGATAAACACCAAAGTCAGAATTTCCAGTACAAAAGTAATATTTTATGGAGCGGAAACTTAGAGAACCACAAAAGCTGTGAAAAAAAAAAGATACTGCAGGTCCATTTGCCATAAAGTTTCTGCAGCCATACTCAGCAGAGGAATAAATTAGGAAAGAGTTCTGGATGTGGATAGGGCACACATTGCAGAAATCACCCAACTAGGTCACAAGACAAGCACTCACTTGTAATCCTCAAGGCCACAGGAAATGGCGAATACCAAAAAACATAATACACTGAGAATTGAAAGTAGACATCAAAAGATTGCATAACAATTAGAAAAAACTAGAAAAGAGAGTGGAATACTGAAAAGAAAGGCGTAGAACAGAGTAGGTTGAATAATGCTGATCGATGACCTATGCTGCATCATTCTGTAACTATAGTTACGTAACTTTCACAATGTACTAATGTACAGACATACAATACAAATGAAATAAATAATTTTTTAATCTTTTTTATGTTTGACTTTGATCTCTGTAGTTACATAACCAACTTCTGTATTTAATCACCTTTCAAATTCATA